CCACGCAGAGCAGGGAGCCCGACGCAGAACTTGATCCCAGGACCCTGGGATCATGACCTGAGCCGAAGGCAGTCGCTTAACCGACTGAGCCACCCAGGCGCCCACAAAGACTGGTTTAGACGTGAGCCCCAAATCAGAAGTCACTGGGGCACACACTGACAATTGCAGGCATGACATGCGATGTAAATGCTCCTTCCACGGGCAAGAGGCAGCCTGACACGGATCGCACCTTGCTAAGCACTTCACCTGCTTGTCTCTGAAAAGCAGGGATTCGTAGTCCTGTCTTATAAGTGAACAAACTGAGCCCTGGAACAGTTACACGATTTGCCCAGCAGCACAGTCATTGGCAAGTGAGCAGCAAGGCCAGCATTCAAACTCAGGCCCGTGTGACTCCAAATTCGAGTTTCCCCTAAACCACACAAACCACAGCCCGGCTGCATCAGATGACACCACCAGCAGAACCAAGATTTGAACCTGGGTGATCTGATGCCAAGGTCGGCACCCTGCCTACCCCATCGGAGTGGGAATCAGGACAAGAAGCCCGCGCTAGAGACGGAGGGACTCACTCCCTGACATGAGCAGCCCCTTTGGAGGTTCTGAAAACACAGCAGGGCCCTAGGGAGGTACCTGGATAGGGTGAAGAGGGTGGGGCGGCACCTAAGAGTCAGGGTGACTTTGGGAGATAGAGAGTCCTGGGTTAGAATCCCATCTTTGTCTTTCCCCAGTCCCATCTCTATGCAGCAGTCCACTCCTTGGTATACACCCAAGAGAACCGAACACAGATGAACATTCAAAACCTGTATGCAAATGTACACAGCAGCATCACTCAGACTAGTCAGAAGGTGGAAACAACCCAAATGTCCATCAACTGATGAGTGGACAAACAAAATGTCTATCCACACAATGGATTATTATTTGACCATTAAAAGGAATGAAGTACTGGGCTGCCTGGGTGGCTCAGTTGGTTAAGTGTCTGCCTTCGGCTCGGGTCATGATCCCAGGGTCCTGGGATCGAGTCCCACATCGGGCTCCCTGCTCGGCAGGAAGCCTGCTTCTCCCTCTCCCTGACGCTCGCTCTCTCTCTCTGACAAATAAATAAAATCTTTTCAAAAAATTTTTTAAAAAAAGTAATGAGTACTGACACATGCTTCAACATAGATGAACCTTGAAAACCTGATGCTGTGTGAAAGAAGCCAGTCACAAAAAAATCACATATTGCAGGATTCCATTTGTATGAAATGTCCAGAATAGGCAAATCCACAGAGACAGAGTGTAGATTAGCAGTTGCCAGGGGCTGGAGGGCAGGGGGAATGGGGAGTGACTGCTAACAGGTACGGGGTTTCTTTCAGGGACAATGGAAACAGTCTAGATTTAGATCATGATGATGGACATACAACACTATGAATATATTAAAAACCATTACATTTGACATTTTAACATGGTGACTTTAATAGGATGTGAATTATATCGCAATTAAAATACTGTCGAGAAGCATACCACCTATAAAATGAGGATAACAACACTAGGCATGTTGGGAGGCTGTTGGTTTCACAGCACGAGGAGGTATACCAAATGCTTGGTGTGGTGCCTGGTACAGAGCCAGCACTCAGACCCAGCAGCTATATTCTAATACATCACGTCAACACTCATGTTGGCTTTCTGCCTAAAACACAAGAACGGGGGACTGATACTGGACGAGGGGGAGGCTGGTGTTACGATTCTTGAACTGCAGCCCAGCTGCCCAACAGAACCACCGCAGAGGGCAGCTGGGGCCGGCCACCCTCCCTTCTCTACAGTGAAGAGCGATCGCCATGGCAACCACATCAGCTCAGGCCAGGGGCTCCTGTTCCCAGCTGGGTGACAGGATCGCCACAGCAACCTGTCAGGATGGCAAAGGCAGATCTGGATGATGGGACTCCGGCAGCTCTGGCAGAACTGCTAAGGGACCCTCATCTCCATGGAAACGATGTCAGGAAGGAGGAGGGGGAGAAGGCGATCAGCAAAGAAACACAGGGCCACACCCCCTTGCCCGGATCCTGAGACACCAAGGGGCATGCCAGGGAGGGCCAGACCTGCCTTGCTGACATCGCCTTCCTAGGGGAAGTGAACTAGTGTTTCTTGAGCACCTACTGTGTGCCTGGCACCACAAAGGGCTGTACACATGCTTGACTACATTTCAAATTTCACAAATAATCCCCCCACCAAAACCCACCTAACTACAGCATTCATTAAAAGAATACAAAGCAAAGTCATTTCCCCCATGCTATTCCCATCTCTCACTCCTTAGTTCAGTGGATTTTCCTCCACACCTTTGCTATACATTTGCACATATACATGCCCCAAAACCAGTCTGTTCTGTATGCCTTTTCAAAATAATTAGTGGGATTGCACGATACATATACATATATATGTGTGTGTGTGTGTGTATGTATCTCTCTTTCTTTTCCTATTAGAGATCTTTCAGCATCAGTATTTATATATCTACCTTATTCTTTTTTTTTTTTTTTAAGATTTTATTTATTTATTTGACAGAGAGAGAGATAGCGAGAGCAGGAACACAAGCAGGGGGAGTGGGAGAGGGAGAAGCAGGCTTCCTGCCGAGCAGGGAGCCTGATGTGGGACTCGACCCCAGGACCCTGGGATCATGACCTGAGCCGAAGGCAGACGCTTAACGACTGAGCCACCCAGGCGCCCCCTTATTCTTTTTTTTAACTGTGCTAAAGTATACATAACATGAAATTTACCATTTCTAGTCACTTTCAAGTATATATTTCAGTGGCATTAGGTGCATTCACTTTGTCAAACAACCACTATTCATCTCTAGAACTTTTTTATTATCCTAAACTGAAACTCTATACCCACTGAATACCAATTCCCCACTCCCTCCTCTCTCCAGCACCTGGAGACCTCTGCCCTGCTTTCTGTCTCTGTGAATTTGGACTACCCTAAGTATGTCCTATACGTGGAACCATATACTACTGGTCCATTGGGGGCTGGCTTATTTCACTTAGCATCATGTCTTCAAGGTTCATCCATGGTGCAGCATGTGTCAGAATTTCATTCCTTCTCAAAGCTTACCAAGAGTCCACTGTATATATATATATACATTGATGGATATTTGGGTTGCTTCTACCTTTTGCCTATTATGAATAATGCTGCTTGGAACAGAGGGGTACAAATATCTGTTCATGTCCCTGCTTTCCATTCCTTGGGGCATAAATCCCAAAGTGGAACTCCTGGCTCATATAATAATTGCATGTTTAATTTGTTCAGGAATTGCCATACTACTTTATTCTTTTTAACTTCTTCATAGTGTTCTATGGTTACCCAAGCTTATTGCTGGTCATAAACAACCTCGTGAGCTGGGTACTGTTATTATCCCGATGTCACAGATGAAGAAACGGAGACTTAGAGGGGACACGGCTTTGGGATCTCAGCCACATCTCTGCCAAGAAAGGGGGGGTGAAGTCAGGCAAGCTGTCCCCCTCTGGGCCTCAGTTTCCTCTCCTTTACAATAGAAACATGCTGAGTTTGAGGCACCTGGGTGGCTCAGTCGGTTAAGTGTCTGACTCTTGATTTGGGCTTGGGTCATAATCTCTGGGTCCTAAGATTGAGCTCCGCATGTGCTCAGTGAGGAGTCTGCTTCTCTCCCTGTCCCTCTGCCCCTCCCCCTGCTCATGCACACTCTCTCTCTCTCAATTAAATAAATTAATCTTTAAAGAACAAAAAAGAAACATGCTAAGCTTTAAGGCACTCTCTGAAACTGTCTCCCCTTTCCACTATCAAGGGTGGCAACAATGAGATGTGTGAAGACAGCCCCCTGTGCCGTGGGCCAGGCCACGGGGGTGGGGGTGGGGGTTGGCAGGAGGCTGCCTGAGAGAGGGGGCCTCCCACCCAGCCCTGTAGCAGAGCAGGGCCCCACGGCAGCCCTTAGCAGCAAATGCCCCCTGTCTCTACACTGAGAAGCCATTGGCATGTCACACCAACATGCCCAGGAGGAAGGGCAGCCGGAGGACTGTTCTGGCTTCAGGGCTGCGGTGTCTCAGGCCTGGAACACTGGCACGCCTGCCCTCGGGGAAGGTGAGGAATGCCCTAGAACAACGTGCAATCCTAGGATACCCTCGTGAGCAGCCAGATAGCTGAGTTCCAGCTGTGCCTCTGTGGTCAGAAGCCACCCGGGGCTGGCTGGAACACAGACCCCTGATTTCTGGAGGATTCCAGCCCCTAGGGGTCACCTAGGCTGACGGCTTTCAAGAGGCATTCTGCGAGCCCACTGGGCCCTGTGTGACCTTGAGGACATCCCTCCTTCTCTCAGGGGCTGTTTCCTCATCCATAAAATGGGTATAATCACAACCTCACTGGGCCTTTATGGAAATTGTCGAGGTAAAGTGTCTAGCACGGTACCTAACATGCTGCACTCCCAACACATAGCAGAAGGCAAGTGGAAGGACTCGTATGAGCAAAGACAAGCTAGTGCCTGGGGCCACATTCAGGAAGCGTCTAACGTCCTAAAATCTGTGTTGAGAGGCTGGCGGGAGCCTGGCCAGAGGCCCGGCCCCAGCACTGCCTTCACACCAAATGCAGCCCCTAAAGCATGTGCACACAAGTTATCCCAGCTAGTCCTCACAACACTCAGGGCATCATTGTCCCGTTCTGTAGGTGAGGAAACTGAGGCAGAGGGCCCGGCCCCACGCTGGATACCGTGGAATGCTTCCTTAGTTAATCCTCCCACGGCTGCGGTTCTTTGGTGGATGACTGTCTCCTTCACTGGCCTGTGGGCTCCTTGAGGACAGGAACCAGTGTCTTCCACCCACCACTGTGTCCTCAGGGTCGGCACACAGAGTATACAGTGGTGCTCAGGAAATGTGTGCTGCGGGGATGAACACGTGACAAAGACAGCTCCACCAGGGACGCATAACCGTGCAGACACAGCGGTTCAGAGCCCCGGCGCACGGCCCCCTGCCCCGGCCTGGCCCTGCCTGGGACGGAGGGGCCCTCACCTCTCTCGGCCGTTCCAGCTCCGTCTGCAGCACCTGCTTGGCCAGCTCGGTCTCGATGAGCCGCTGCCGAAGCTCCTCGTTCTCCTCCTCCAGCCGCGCCCGTTTCTTCTCCACCGCCTCGAGCTCCTTATGCAGCCGCACGGAGATGTCCTTAGAGACCTGAGCAAGGGTGGGTGATGAGCAGGGAACCCCACCTGCCCCCCGCTTTGGCTGCAGAGCCACCCCCCAGCAGACAGTGTTTCTCACCACCCCCACTTAGATGAGGAAACCGAGGCACAGAGAAGTCAGTAGAGGGTACGGGGTCACACAGCCAGGAAACAGCAGAAGCAAAACCCAAACCCAGGCACCCCGTGCTCCCAATGTCTACATCACAGTTCAGTCCCCAGGAAGCTGGAAAGGCCCTGCCTGTTCTTCGCAAGGCCCTTTCAATTATCCAGCGCAGTCGGTGTTTCCAATTCTCACAAGAGCCTGAGGCAGGGCCAGAAGCTCATTTTAAAGGGAGGGAAGTGAGCTGGCGTGGAAACCAGAGCAAGATGGGCAGCCCCAGAGCCATCTGAATCCCACTGCTGCCAGGGACCAGCACGGGATCCTGGGCAAACCATCTCCCGACTCTGTGCCTCAGTCTCCTTAACTGCAAAATGGATGCAATAATAGCAGCAACCTCATGGGCCCCGCAGGAGGACCGAATCAGCTATGGCACAAAAAGCCTGGGCCCTGGGCCAGCACAGTTGAGTGCCGGGGGAGTGGTCATGCCGAAGCTCAGAGAGGGGCCTGACTTGCTGGAGGTCATGGGGTGACCCCGAGGCTGGTTTTCAATTGTCTGGGACATAGAACATGCTCTAAATGACAAAGGCTGGGCGCGTGTCCAAGTCATCCGTACAGAAAGGAACTAACAGAGCTGCAAACGTCAATCCTGGTGCCAGGGCTCTGCAGCAGAGCACCCCATTTCCTCGAGGACACCCTGGGGGTCAAAGGCCAGGAAAGGGGAGCCTCTGGGGATGCGGAAGGCCCTTCTGAGCTGGTAAATCACAACTATCATCTGTTGACTACCTACCGTGTGCCAGATTCATTTACCCCAATTCTGTCTGAGGCTCACAGCCTAAGTGACCTGACTCGGGGTCATGCCTAGCCAGGGGGACCCGAGCTGGGGGGAGCCCCTGGGATTTGCCCGAGAGGCCAACGTGGTCAGGGGCTCTGGAGGGGTCCGAGGGCTTTGCCCACAAGAGGTATGTGAGGGGCAGACAGCCCAGCACCCCATGCCTGCCAGTCTCGGAAATGGCCATGGCACCTCCTCCACGCCGGAAGGGAAGAGGGCCCTCCCTGGCTCTTCCCTCTGCCTGGGCCCAGGCCCAGCTCGGCACGGACCCGTTGGCAGTATGAGAGGCAGGCCAGGAAAAACAACGGCCAGAAAGGGAATTCGGCGCTGCCTCCCCCACCGTCTGTTGCCCACTGCCGCTCTCTGCCTCTGAGGATCCCCAAGGACAGCCGGGATCTATCCCCCTTCCACAAACCCCTCAATAGCAGAACAAGGACTTGGCAGGCAGGGAGAGCTAGACTGAGTATGACTCCAGCGCTCTCTGTGTGGACACCCACGACAAGTTTATTGACACATTCGAAGTCTCGGTGTGGTCACTGGTAAGTGGAATGGAGACAGCCCACTCCCAGGAGCCACTGTGAGGAACACATGACGTAGTCCCTGGGCTGGTGGTTGGAACATCAAGAAATACAACTTTTTAATGCACTGCCAGGATCACTGCTTCACCTCTGTGCACTGGTTTTACTGGACTGGGCCTCACTCTTGAGTTTGGGGTCAAGGATTTTGCTGGAAGTGTTCAGCCCCAGGCTCTTGGCTGTGGTCTCCAGGTTGGGGCTATTAAGTCACCCAGAAAGTCCCTGCCCTGATCAATACTCCATTCATTCATTCATTCATTTATTCGTTCATCCTGTTGGGACCGTGGGGCAGGAGCGGTGGGGCACAGAGATGAAGGCCCCAGACCATGCCTGGGCTCCTTCACCTCCCTGTGTCCCAGTAGCAGCGCATGGTCTGGCACATGCTAGTGCCCAGGAAATGCTGGTTGGAGAACAAACAAATCCAAGGTTCCAAAAAGGGAAAAGAGAGGGAGGTGAAGGGGCGAATGCCTGAAATATGGGGAGATGCACCTCTCCTAACTTGACGAGGGGGATGCTCCCCTCAACCAGCACCCCACCCACCGTCCAGGGAGGGCTGTGTCCCTGACTGACGTGAGGGCTTCTCTCCTAACTGCGCTCCCACTTGGGGCCAGCTCCTCTCCATCTGAGGGGTCGCTCCATCCCCACCATGGCCTCGACCTGGTAGGCAACACTCCCCCTCAAGAAGTCATGATCCGTGGATTCCTGGGTCCTCTTGGGTTCATAAATGACTCTATTGATTTCATCCCTTCCATGAGTCCCCAGGCTCCTTCCACCCCATTCTCCATATGATCGCCTTCCCCATTTGTCCCCCACCCCCAAGGGTTGCTATGTCAAGAAAGCCCAACCCCAGGCAGCTTACAGGATTGCAGTGGGAACAAAAGAGCCCTTAATTTCAGATCCCACAGAACCCTGTGCCCCCTTTAGAGGAAGAGCACGGTAGCCTGGAGGGCAGGAGTCTGGTGGCCTCCGCCCGTCCCTTCCTCTCTCTCAGTGGCCCTGGGTGCTCTTGCCTCTCATGGGTGACTTACAGAATCGGCTCTCACTTCCTGACACCACATGCCTTTCATTCCCTCGAGAAACGCTTTGTTATTACCATTCTGAGGTGCAGAAAGGAAAGGTCACTTGCCCAAGGGCACACGGCTAGGAAGCTACAGAAACAAGGTCTGAAATCAGGTGGGTCAACTCTAGAGTCCTGCTCTCAACCTGACCCTGTTGTTGGCCCGAAGCCTGAAGACATTATGTTAATATCGGTACTAAAAGTATTAATAATAAGCCCAGCAGAGGGTTCACGGTGTCACATGCTCACAGGGCCCCACCTGCTTGTCTCATTTCATCGTCTTACGATCCTCCCAACTACTCCCAGGGCAGGGGGGCTGAGATACTCCGGGAGGTGAAGCAGCTGCAGCTTCTGGACACCAGGGCAAATCCCCAAAGCACAAACAATGCGTTCAGCCATGAGGTCACTGTTTACAGCACTGAGGCCTGGCTCCTGCCAAATGCAACCAGCAGCCTCCAGGCCACGGTCCCCCTCACATCAGGTCTCTCAGCCTCCCTGTCACTGTCACTGAATCCTCAGGGAGGGGGAATGGGAGGTGGGGCCTGGGAATCTGCACTGTGGACAAGCCCTCCAGGGGATTCTTATCCACGCAGGCAGGCTGAGATTCTGGCCTCCCCTTCTCTGCCCTTGCCCCAGCCACTTGCCCTACGAGTGCCTTCTAGGATCTTCTGAACAGTAACACTGCAACCAACATTTGCTCCTTTGCCGGGTGAACACCCGGTGCCGGATTTTGTGGCCAGCACTCTCTTTACATGAGCCATTCCGTTTTATCCTCGCAAAAATCTCTCTAGGTAGAATCTAGTTTTATCTCCCTTTTCCACAAGGGGTGTGAAGCAGCTTTCTGAAGGTCACGCACCAAGCAAGTGGGAGAGCAGGTCTCTGCACCGCCACCACCCTGCCCTCCTCATGTATGTTCCCACTGAGGCTCTGTGGGGCCTGCAGGCTGTGAGGACCACAGACAGTGAGAGAGCCTGGGGGAGAGGGATACCAAGGTGTTACTCATGGCGCCCTCACCAATAACCTACCTGCTCGACAAAACCACTGGAACTGCAAAAGCCCTATAGATTTGGCTGCTCTCAGCCCCATATTTAACAGAAGGGGAAACTGAGGCCCCAAGAGGTGGCCCCAAGCCAGTCCCAGGGTGGGCCAAGGAGCTGGCAGAGCAAGTCAGAGAGTCCCCAGGGATACCCAGCTCTGAGGTCCCCTCCCCAGCTGGGCCCATCAAGCCCCCCCAGGAGACACCACAATTCTGAGAACCCCCAAAGTGACTGAGAACAAGTCCAGCACGTGGGGAGGATGTGGCGGCCAGAGGCATCCAGCCCGGGCCTGCAGGGATGAGCTCAGCGCTCCAGCTGCAGGGGCGGGGAGAAGAGGGGGAGAAGGGGGCAAGGTGGACGCTGATTGGCTAGTTCAAATCCCAACAGAAGGGGCGGCTTCCCTGCCCCGGGAGCCGAGAGACCCCCTCCGACATGCACACCAGCTGCTCTGGCTCCTCCCACTGAGGCGCTGGCTAGCCGGCCCAGTCGGTCCTCCCCCGCCCCGCCCCCCAATCTCTGTAAGGCTGACTCTTTGGTGTCCCGGCCCCAAAGCCCCAGCCACCCAGGCCCCAACTCTGCTTCGTCTGAGCTTCTCCAGCTCTTCCCCACCCCACGCCCTGTCCATCCAGTGCCTGGAGTTGGAGTATCTGTGCAAACACCTATCCCGGGGGCTGCCGGTCAGGTAGCTTTGGCCTGGGAGACACACCCCTTCTGAGCTCAGTTTCCTCATCTGCACAGCCGACCTCTAATCCCAACTGCGCCCCCGTAAAGACAATGGGAAATGCGAGCCTGCCTGTGGCCCGCTGGCACTCAGGGTTTACCTCCCGGCCCTTACAGAGAGGCTCTCTCCCCGCCCCGGCATTCCTCCTCCCCAGTCCCGGCTCAGGCCCTCTTCTCCCTCAGGCCTGGGTTCAGAAGTCACCCCTGCAGGAAGAGCCCCCAGGCTGCATCCCCACCCCCAGCTCCTACACCCCCTGCTCACACTAGGGTGAGTTCTGAGAGCCGGGGACTGGGCACACAGACAGGCAGGGGTCGGCTCTTCCTGGAGGGCCCTCCTGCCAGCCTCCAGCCCATCAGCAGGGAGGGAGGCCAGGCCAGGCACAGGAGGCTGATAAGCCTGCACTGTAACCACTACACACTGAGTGTCATGTGACCTTGGACAGGTGGGTCCTTCCTTTCTCTGAGCCTCACTTTCCTCATCCAGAAAATGGGACTAATAACAGCTAACATTTTTGAGGGTTTACAGTGACATCTTACCTGTATTATCTCTTCTAACCCTCAGAGAACCTCGCTGCTGTGACACCCATTTTACATGTGAAGAAACTGAAACTTAGGTGACTTGCTCAAAATCTCAAAATTAGGGCACTTTGGAGTCCAGATTTAAACCAGCCCTATCCAACTCCAGGCCTTCACTACGCTCCTTAGCACAATAAAGAAACCTCCACAGGGGCGCCTGGGTGGCTCAGCCCCCTTAAGCCTCCAATTCTTGATCTCAGCTCAGCTCTTGATCTCAGGGTTGTGAGTTCAAGCCCTGCATTGGGCTCCACGCTGGGCGTGGAGCCTACTTAAAAATAAGATAAAATAAAAAAATTTTTAAAAACCCCAAGAAGCTGGGGCGCCTGGGTGGCTCAGCCATTAAGTGTCTGCCTTCGGCTCAGGTCATGATCTCAGGGTCCTGGGATCGAGCCCCACATCGGGCTCCCTGCTCCGCGGGAAGCCTGCTTCTCCCTCTCCCACTCCCCCTGCTTGTGTTCCCTCTCTCGCTGTGTCTCTCTCTGTCAAATAAATAAATAAAATCTTAAAAAATAAAAAAATAAAAATAAATAAAAATAAAAACCCCAAGAACCCTCCCCAGACGGTGCATGGACAACTCAGAGTCCAGCATGTGGTTGACACTCGGAGTGGCTGCTTTGAGTAGGATGCATATTTATGATATTACCTTGGGGCACCCCTGTCAGTTCGCCAGGGATCCCCACTTTACAGATGAGGAAGCTGAGGCCCAGAGAGGTGGAGTAACTTGCTCAAGGACACACAAGGAGCAAGCTGACCTGGGCTCGACCGGGGCTTGGGGGGGAGGCCTGGTGCTTACCTTGACGTCCTGCTCCAGCCCACGGATGAGCTCCCCATCCACCTGGCCCGTCTGTGCGGCTCGGAGGCTGCGGCGCTCGGCCTTGCGCAGACGGTACTGCAGAATGCGGCAGGTCTTGCTGGCCTGGTCCAGCTGCTGCCGCAGCTCCTGCAGCTGGTACACATCCTCCTCCATGTAGACGTCCCGCATCTCCAGCATCTCGGCCCGAAGCTCCTCGATCTCGTCCTGCAGGGGGACGGGGCGGTCAGGTCACCACCGGGCCCCGTGGCAGTGGCCTGAGGCCTGAATGCAGGCCACACCCAACACTCTCCTAGGCTGAATAACGGCCCCCCAAAGACATCCGTGTCCTCGTTCTCAGAACCTGTGACTATGTTACCTTACACGGCAAAAGGGACTTTGTGAAGGAGATGAAGGTAAGGATCCCAAGATTGGGAGATGTTCCTGTATTCTATCTGGGCAGCCCAACGTAATGACATGGGTTCTTGTAAGAGGGAGGCAAGAGGATCAAAGTAGGACGTGACGTGACAGAGCAGAGGTCAGAGGGACATGCGCTGAAGATGGAGGACGGGTCACGAAGTGGAGAATACAGGCCACGTCCAGAAGCTGGAAAAGGGAGTAGATCCTCCCCCAGAGCCCCGCCATGTGGCCTCACCAACATAGCCCTGCCAACACCTCGATTTTCAGACTTCGAACCTCCAGAATGCTAAGATAATAATCTGGGATTGTGGGCGCCTGGGTGGCTCAGTCGTTAAAGCGTCTGCCTTCGGCTCAGGTCATGATCCCAGAGTCCTGGGATCGAGTCCCACATCAGGTTCCCTGCTCTGCGGGAGGCCTGCTTCTCCCTCTCCCACTCCCGCTGCTTGTGTTCCTGCTCTTGCTATCTCTGTCTCTGTCAAATAAATAAATAAAATCTTTAAAAAAAAAAAAAAATCTGGGATTGTTTGAAGTCACTCGATTTCCGGTGATTTGTCGCAGGAGCAATAGGGAAACTAACCACTCTGGGGAAGCAGGACAGGCTCATTCAACAAGCATTCATGGGCACCAACTCTGTGCCAGGCCCCGTGCCAAGCACGGGGGGTGGGAAGGGACAGTACTGACCAAGACTGACTGGGCCCCTTCTGTATCTTCTGCACGGAGCCCCAGATCTCACTAGGGAGACACATGATAAACCAACAAATTAAAAAATCCAAATAAATGGCGAGAAACAAAAACCCCCACACCTAGGTAACATGCTACAGCACTGGGGAAAGGCTGTGTCCCAGGGCATGGTCGGGGTGGCCGTCTCCAAAGAAGGGACATCTGAGCTGAGGGAAGAAGGAACAGCCATGCAGCCAGCCAGCCAGGGAGAGATGACTCTAGGCAGAGGGTCTGGTGTGTGCAAAGGCTAATAGGCAGGACAGAGCCCAGTGTGTCAGAATATAGCAAGGTGGCCAGGGTAGCTAGAGGAGGGTGGGCTGAGGCCAGGCAAACAGACAGAGATTGGCCTTGAAGGGCCAAGAAGAAGTTGGGTTTGGGTTTTAAGTGGAGGGTGCTGGGGGATGACCTCACTTCCTCAGGGCAGCTCCTGACCACCTCCGTCACCAGCTCCCAAATGTCCCTCACTTCCCCTTTGTCACCATGAGCATATCTAAATTTTCTATTTAAGAGTTTGTCTCCCCTCTGGGAGTGTGTGTGGGGCACTACCCCACATCTACCCTGATCCCTGCTGTATCCCCCACACCCAGCATTGGCCTAGCACCCCACAGACTCCCAACAAACATTAACTGAATGAGTATACCATGTGCAGTTAGATAAACAACCACAAAAAAGACATACCAACCTGAAACAATCATTAGACAGACAGATTGTAAGGGGGTGAGTGAGGAACCCAGCAGGAGAAACGGATAATTATTATATCTAATAACAAATGTGAAAACTGAGTCGCAAATAGAAATAATATCTACTCTTAGTATGACTGAATGAATTAAACAAGATGGTATACTAAAAAGAGAAACTGAGGGACGCCTGGGTGGCTCAGTTGGTTCAGTGTCTGCCTTTGGCTCGGGTCATGATCCCCCGGTCCTGGGATCGAGTCCCGCATCGGGCTCCTTGCTCAGCGGGGAGTCTGCTTCTCCTTCTGCCTGCCACTCCCCCTGCTCGTGGTCTCTCTCTCTCTCTCTCTGTGGCAAATAAATAAATAAATAAATAAATAAATAAATAAATAAATAAATAAATGAAGCTTTAAAAAAATAAAAATAAATGAAAAGAGAAATTGAGTCACAGGGGAGGAATGATCTGCCAAAGGCATCCCTGAGGAGCCAGAGGAAACACCCAAGGGTGGTGCTGATGGGGGCAGGGAGGTGGGTCCAAGAAGCAAAAAAAAAACAACTCTGCAGGCCCTTGAGAGGGGCCACAATCCAGAGTGTGTTCACCAGCCCCTCTGTGCCTTCCTTTCCCCAAAGAAATTGGGTGGCTCCCTCTGGGAGCATGGCCTGAGGTTGTCCAGTGTCCCCTGGAGACTGGGTCGGTCAGTTTAATTCAGGAGCAGGGTTAGGAAGCAGGCCAGTTCTTAATGTGAAAGCTCATTCGTCTGTTTGACTCCCGCGGACTACTTCTCACATGGTCCTGAACTCAGGAGAGGAAGACAGAGGGGACAAGGATCTGTTTCTCCCAATGACATACTGTCCCGTTCCCACCGTCAACCCAAGGACTAAATCCCCACTTGCCACCACGGCCTCTCCTCTAGGGGTGGCTTCAGCAGCAACCCGCAAAGTGGATGATTCTGCCTACACCAGCTCAGAGGAAGGGTTCCCTCACCAGGACCCCATCTCCACCTCCATCCCAGTATACACACAGACTCACTGCCACCATGCCAAGTGGACAGAACTAAAAGTGGAAAAAGAGGAAGTGGGACAGTCAATGATCACACCAGTCCAAAGAAATGAGGAAGTGAGGTGTCCACACTCCATTTCAGCTGGTGGATTAAGGAAGCATAAAGGAAACGGCACTCAGGAAGTACGGGCCAGTCAGCTAAACCCAAAGTAAGCCAGCCTCCAGATGAGCCTGTATTCAAATCCCCACCCTGCTATTTCCTAATATCTCACTTATTCTCACTGCAGTCACGCTAACAGGTGATGGGGAGGATATGGAGGTCTAAGTGGACCTGAAGCTCAGGATGAACCAAGGGGAAGGGCAGAGAACATTAAAGCTCATAATGTTAGGCTACGTTAATAGATGTATGACATTTAAGTCATGGGAGGTGACATCGCTCAACACAGGACCACATCCAGAGCACTGGAGTCAATTTGGGGGGACCATTTATTTTGTTAACTTTTAAATAACTGATTTTTCTATTTATAAAAGTAAACCATGATCACAGAAACAGTTTTGAAAGTACAGAAACTTAAATCACTCATAATTCCTCCCCCTGGTCCTAAGTCACACTGGCTCTCGAACTGTGGTCCCTGGACCAGTAGCATATAACCATCACTGGGGAACTTGTCAGAAATTCTCATGCCTCAACTGAGACCCGCTGAATCAGAAACTCTGGGAGCAGGCCCCCCAAGTGACTCTAAGGCAGGGGGTTTCCTTCCAGTCTTTTTCCTAAAAGGGCAAGAGCCATCTGTGGCAGGACCACAAGACCAGGGCCTGACACAGAGCAGAGCCTCAACAAGCATCTATTGAACAAGTGAATGAATCAATGATCTTTCTCACATGAGCAGCTGGCTCCCCAGGGCCTGCCCTGGACCACAGTCAGTTTCTAAAAATGCAGGATGTTGCATTCACGCCAGCTCCATCTCCCCATGGGGCTAAGGAGGGGGGCCCAGGCCCATGCGGGCTCGTCCCAGCTGCAAGGCAGAATGCGGGTCAGCCCCTCCTGGCACGGCCCATGCAGGAGGGCGAGTCCACAAAGGCAGGCTTGTGGCCCGCATGGGCCGGGTCGGCTGGGACTCGGGCAGCCCGGGCTGGTGAATGCAGGACCCAGGCAGGGTCCTGAGGTGGGGTCAGGGAAAGGGGCTGCTAGGCCCTTGGGACGGGACCCTGGGGGGCAGGACCTTGCTTCACTCCAGAGGTTCTTTTTTTTAAAGATTTTATTTATTTATTTGACAGAGAGAGACACAGTAAGAGAGGGAACACAAGCAGGGGAAGTGGGAGTGGGAGAAGCAGGCTTCCTGAGGAGCAGGGAGCCCAATGCGGGACTCGATCCCAGGACCCTGGGATCATGACCTGAGCCGAAGGCAGACGCCTAACGACTGAGCCACCCAGGCGCCCCATCACTCCAGAGGTTCTTAGACCCCACTGAACCTCCAAATCTCCCAGGGCTGCTCAGTCCTCCAGTCCCAGCCCCTGGCCCTAAAAAGCCCTCCGGTGACAGTCTGACCCAACGGACAGAGCTTGGAGAGAGGGAGGGGAGCCCGGCCTTCTCAGCTCCTTCACAGACAGCTCAGGGCCCTTGTTGCTCCTCCCCTCCCTCCCAAACCCCTCAACCGTGTGCAAGTGGGAGGGAGGGGACAAACTCCACTGGACTCCACAGGCCCAGTGGCTATACAGAAAGGTTGTTGGAGACCCCCCCAACACCGGTAGGGGAACCCCAAACCTCACTCTCCCCTGCAGATAGGAAAAGGCCAGCAGTGCCCTGGGGGCCCTGATTCTCAATCCCACAGTCAGAAAGGCCAGCCTAAAGAAGCCGGGGAAAGGTGCTCAGACCAGGCATGGCCTGCCAGCCCCTCGACAGCCCTCCATCCCCTCTGCCACTCCTTCAAGCTGACTGTCTCCTCCCCTTGAAGCTGACCCTCATTATTTAACATGGACAGAGAAGGGGGGTGCGGGCAGGGATAGAGAATAGGAACGGGGCACCCTGCCTACTGCCAGAGCAGTCTTCACTGAAAATGTTTATTTTGCTCTGATTACAGAGGTCATTCCTGTTTATCGGAGATAACTTGAAAAAAAAAGGTCACTTTCTGTCTCCTCCACTCTTTCCCACTGGCTTCTGCAATAGGTGCAGTCCCTTACCTTGGAATCCAAACTGTCCCTGGTCTCCTCCCTGTTTCTGCCCCCCACCCCTGCCCCTGCATCCTCTGGCCCCCACATCCAGATATCTCAGGGCACCTGGCTGGCTCAGTCAGCAGAGCATGCGACTCGGTCTCGGGGTCATGAGCTTGAGCCCCACGTTGGGTGTAGAGGTTAGTTAAAAATAAAATCTTGGAGACGCCTGGGTGGCTCAGTTGGTTGGGCAACTGCCTTCGGCTCAGGTCA